CCCTCTCACAAACAGAATATCAGTGACAATGATGTCCCGACTTATCCTCAATCTTCACGCCAAAGCAGCTCGGAACAATAATCCCGTCGAGTCCATTAGATTGAGCAGTATACGAGTTGCACGGCCCCACGAGTCGAGCAGCTTAAGCACTGATTCGTCGAATGTATCGTCATCATCAACGTCAACGCCCACGAACTCACAGCATAATCGAAATCCTCATAGTTTAAACTCAGTGAAAGGGGCAGTGAAAGGTTTTGAGATTGGAGTTGGACTGCAAACTGTGGATGAAGAGCGATAAATATATAGATATGTAAGTATTGGAATTATAGTAACTGCTGCAGGTTGTTTATACTTAGTCTGTTTCTCAGACGATTCGATGTTTCCATGTTGTTGGTCATACTGTCACCGGGGCTGTAGCAGATCAAAAAGATAAAGATATTTTGTTGGAAGCACTTAGGGTATCATAAATTATTGAGTAAAAATTCCATTCATTTAAGGGTTATAGAAAGAAAAAAGAACAAGCCTAAAACAAGCTTGAAGCAAGTAAAAAAATATCGGCATATTTTTAGATGCAACTTGTCTAAAAATTTCTATATCCTCAACTCAAACCCCCAGCGGGACTCGAACCCGCAACCTCCAGATTTCGCAGAGTCTCTCACTTGTTGATAGAAGTCTGACGTCATAACCATTAGACAATGGGGGCATCAATGAAAGATGTGATTTGGAATGATAGATCTCATTCGGCTGATTTCTTTTCTATGTTAACTGAAAAAAGAAGTAACACTAAAGATGGTTAAGTACAATGGGTACCGGTTGGAATTCTGAAAGTTACTTAGTTTTGATGAAGATTAGATATTACCGGTACTCAAAGACCTCTATGGGGAGAATTATGGCTCTCGGGGATTTTTGACTTTGTTGGATTGCGAAAGGAAACTTTGTTACGTTGTCAATGCTGTGCGCGCAATTGAGGTATATATCATTATGCATGGAAACTTGGAGGAGGGGAAGGACCTATACGAGTAGATGTACATAGATACTTACCTATGTGTAGTCATGCACTGCATACTCGGGTGCTAACGTAGAGGACTGGGTACGTACTAGTCGTCAGTACTTATACATGTACATATGTATATGGGGACGAACCTGAACGAACCTGGAAATATAAAATAGAAACCTTTGGGAGAATTCTACTGTTGAAACTTGAAACGCCATACATATGTAGTGCACCGTATGGCCATGCAAGTAGACATGAGAAGGGTTCGAACCTGAACGCTGGGAATAAATAGTAAAATAAGTTAGACGCTGGAACTCTATACACGAACAGAACAACGCGGAGAAAATCGCCTTCGTGTGTAGTACTTACCCATATAAAACACAGCTCCCGTTCGTGAATGGCAGTGGGATTCACCCATCCAGAAGGAATGGATAAGAATCTACATAGACTGTAGACAACCGATTTCCGGTTGATTGACATCGATATATGTAGAGTATACCTCGATCAAGCCCCTGCTTTACTTAGGTGTCGTTATACGTACGTTAGTTATTTACTTATAAGTATTAAGAGTTCAAAAAAACATACATATATGGTAAAGGCCAAATGACTGGTGATTAAGAAGAAAGGTTTTTGACAAATCCTTAATGGCCGCCACAGATTTTGGATAGAAGTTTATTTGGAAACGTTAGATTAGATGCCGCGGAGCGCTGGGGGATCCCGAGGGCGGACAATGAAAGGAAGAGTGATCCGGTCCAAGCTGGATGTATGTACATGCCGAGTGTATGTAACGCGGATACATTGCTCCGATTTAATCTCGTACGAAAGACGGGTGAACTGCGCAAGTTCACAACGTTCACAGCTTGTTGGCTTTTTGGGGGGTCCAAACACGTCACCTACGGGTATCGAACACCATCGAACACTTTTGTTGATAGATGAAAGGAAGTGAGGCGATGAACAATGTTTGAAGCAATAAAGGTCGCCAGTCCTCCGTAGTTTGTTGTGAGTCAGAGTATTTTGAGGTATATATATTCCTTGAGAAGACTTGATCATTGTATTGTCGTGTGCCGAGAGTTGAGTGTACCTTGAGGGTTGCACACAGACGAGAAAAACTTGATGAGGTGGGTGGGTCAAAGCTGAGTAACACACCTATTTATATGAACGGGAGATGGTCCCATGCTTGTCATCATCCTCGACCCTTCTTGATTCTTGAGTCCAAATTCCCGTTCCGAACATTATACAGTACATATCGGCATACATCCCAGGCCGAGCTATCATTCTTCGTTGGAGATTTTTGGAGCTTCGTTGGAGCAACGTTCGGTAACAATGTTTAAGCTCCCGAATCAAAGTTCTACCCAAAGCTGTTATTGGCGGTGAGCGGTGAGCGCTGGTGCAACGAGGGTACAAAAAAAATCATGAAGGGAAAGGTCTCCGTTGATGTGAGAAACATACGAACTCAAGGCTTTGATACATCATTCCAAAATGATGTCAATTTTTTTTTGGGGTGCCTTGCGCATGCCGTGTTGGCAGGGGTCTTGGTGAATAGTGTTAGTAGACAAAAGAAGAGACATAAATTATAACAGAAGGAGTATTGGAGGAGTGAAATATGAGGAAGTACGGAAAGACTTTGGTAGGGATCTGAGGATGATTTTCGCTGTTGAAGCTAAAGATTCGCCTCTATCACTATAAGGCGCTCCCTTGGCGCGTGGTGGAATGGAAGTGACGTTATAGATTTGATGTGTCAATTTCTGTCCCACAAAAATGTGACATGTCCTATGCGATGCAGTTACAAGCCAGGAAAGCCTTTCTTTCCAACCACCACCACCCAACCACCAACCAGCCACTAACCACCAACCACCCCCATCCCTCTCTTTCCTCCTTCATTCAACCGAAGGAGTACCCATTCACATCCCTCCCATTCGAAACGAGTTCAACATGGCAATCGTCTGGGGCCGTCATCCCAAATACGCTCTCTTCGTCTTCGTCGTACTGGCCACGACTTTCTATCTATTAGATCCTTTCTCTTTACCTCCACCTGAACCACTACCTCCTCTGAACATAGATTCTGTCAAAGGCGAACTACCCAAACGTCTCGCACGCGCCGACGCGATATATGACAAGGTGTTGGCCGACAGGCAGGGTCTTATCAGACATTTTGGGCCTACGCCTCAGGACGTGATGATGTGCGTGTGGTTTTTCTGCGATTCTGGCGGAGGATGACCATGTTTATTCAACGATTTTTTTTCTATAGGTTCCCACCTAACAAGGACCCTTGGCCTCCCTATACTGTTTGTAAGTCAACTGCCCAACTCAATTGTGTCCACCGCTAACCTTTACGAATATATCCAAAGGGGACTTCTTCCCAGCCGCATACAACTGTCCACACGAGCTCGTCCGAGTAGGCGCTCTAGGTGACGGAGGCAAATGGGTCTGCGGTCTCTCCCGCGTCGAAACCAAAAAAGACTGCGTGATCTACTCCGTCGGTATCAACCACGAATCCTCTTTCGAAGCCCAACTCCTCACTTCCACTTCCCACTGCGAAGTTTGGGGATACGATTTCTCAGTGTCCTCTTTCGGTCCTCAAATCACTCGGTCCCTATCCCCACGAACCCATTTCTTCGCTTATGGTCTAGCTGGAAACGATCATATACCTCCACCAAATGCGCCTTCGACTGATTATCCGATGTATACGCTTCAATCTCTGATGAAGATGAACGGACACACGCATATCGACATACTCAAAGTAGACATCGAGTCTTGGGAATTCGAAACCCTCACGACGATGTTGAAGCCTTATCTAGAGTCTGGTGAACCTTTACCGTTTGGTCAGTTACAGTTGGAGATTCATTTGTGGAACAAGACGTTTGAAGACTTTTTGGAATGGTGGGAGATGTTGGAGAGTGCGGGGTTGAGACCGTTCATGACGGAACCGAATTTGGTTTATGTGAATTATAATAGACAGGCTTCGGCGGATTTGGCGGAGGTGAGTCGTTTGTTTTTTTTTTTCTTGTTTTTTCGGGCGCGCGTGTCAAAGGCGGTCTTTGTCAACCTTGTCCTTCTATTCTCTTTCTACGTCCCTCTGAACTTACCTCTCTCTTCTTCTCCCGTAGTACTCCTTCCTCAACATCAAAGGCGACAACATCTTCATCAAAGACAAGCCCGAGGTCCATGCTCACTAAAAC